TGGAGGACTGTGTACCAAGGAAGTCAGTTCAGGTGTTCCCCAACTGGAAACCTTGGATGAACCAGGAAATCCACTCCCTACTGTAGACCAGATGCGCGGCATTCAAGTTGGGTGATCCAGACCAATACAGAATATCCAGGTATGGCCTCCACAAAGCCATCAGGGAGGCCAAGAGGCAGGACCGGACCAAGTTAGAGGCCCAGACCCACCAAACAGACTCCCGCTGGCTATGGCAAGGCCTAAACAATATGACACGGGATACAAAATGAAACAGTGTAAGATAACGGACAATGACACATCCCTCCCTGACACGCTCAATGCTCGATTTGAGCAGAATCCCACTGGTGTGGCAATGCCTGCCCTGAAAGTCTCACACACATCTGTTCCCTCTGTCACTGCTTCAGAAATCAGATCAGTCTCCCAGGGAGTCAACCCAAGGAAAGTGATTGGCCTGGATGGTGTCCCCGGCCGAGCTGTCTCATCCTGTGTGGACCAACTAGTGGAGGATTCACTGACATCTTCAACCTCTCCCATATACAAACCAAAGTCCTCACCTGCTTCAAGAAGACCACCATCCTCCCCGTACCCAAGCACATGCAATGTGCCTTAATGACTATCTCCCAGTGGCCCTGACCTCCATAGTCATGAAGTGCTTCGAGAGGCTGGTCATGGCCCCCATCAACTCCAGTCTCCCTGCCTGCCTCGATCCCCTGTGGTTTGCTGACTGACGTAACAGGTCCACAGAGGATGCCGTATCCCTAACCCTGCGCTCATCCCTGGAACATCTGGACTGTGAGGAAACCTACATCAGACTCCTGCTCGCTGACTACAGCTCCGCCTTCAACATCATTATCCCCTCTAGACAGATCTCGAAACTCCGAGACCTAGGTCTTGGCTCTGTCCTCTGCAACTGGATCCTCAGCTTTCTGACCCACAGACCACAATCAGTGAGGATAAGTAACTGCACTTCCTTCACGATAACACTCAACATGGCAGCCCCCCAAGGCTTTGTCCTCAGCTCCCTACTGTGCTCCCTGTACACCTACAACTGTGTTGCTAAATTCCAAACGAACACCATCTACAAGTTCACTGTCAACAGCACTGTAGTGGGACAGATATCTAACAACGATGAGTCAAACTACAAAAGGGAGATAAAGAGCTTGGTGACGTGGTGCCATAAAAGCAACCTCTCTCTCAACATCAGTAAAACTAAGGAACTGATCATTGACTTCAGACAGAAAGCAGGAGAACACGCCCCCATCTACATCAACGGAACTGAGGTTGAGAGGGTGAAGAGCATCAGGTTCCTCGGAATGACGATAACCGACAACCTATCCTGGCCTTCCCATGTAAATGCAATGGTCAAGATGGCACTTAATGCCTCTTCTTCCTCAGGCAGCTCAGGAAATTTGGCATGTCCATAAGGTCCCTCACCAACTTCTACAGATGCACCATTGAAAGCAAACTGTCCGGGTGCATTACGGCCTGGTATGGAAACTGCTCTGCCCAGGACCGTAAGAAACTACAGAAGGTGGTGTGCACAGCCCAGACCATCACAGAAGCCAACCTTCCATCCATGGACTCTAATTACATGGCTCGCTGCTGCAGAAAGGCTGCCAACATCATCAAAGACCCATCGCACCCTGATAATGATCTCCTACAGCCTCTTCCATCAGGCAGAAGATACAGAAACCTGAACATATGCACCAGCAGGTTCAGGAGCAGCTTCTTCCCGACCGTTATCAGGCTGTTGAATGGACTCTAGCCTCAAATAATGTAACCTGTATGCCTCTAAGTCTTTTTGATCTGTACATCCTTTGCTTGCTGTGATCTGCCTGTACTGTTCGTAACCAAAGCTTTTCACTGTATTTCAGTACACGTGACAATAAATCAAACAATCATTTCAGAGAACAGTTAAGATTAAACCATGTTGGCATGGACTTGGAGTCACATGTACGCCGAACCAGCACCTTTCATTCTCTAAAGGTTATCAGTGACCCAGAAGGATTATTACAACAATCTACAATGGTCATCCTGGTTACTAGGACTGAGACCAGCTTTCAATTCCAGGTCTGTTAATTTAAATTCTACCAGCTGCCGTGATGGGATTTGAACGCATGACCCCATTAGCCTGGGCCTTTGGACAATTAGCCCAATGGCATTACCGTTACATCACCATCTTCCCTTCAACAGGCAGAGGCCATTCAGCCCCTGTACTGCTCTGTTCATTCAGTCAAATCATGGCTGATCTGCATCTTAATTCCATCATATGCCATTGTTTCTCAATCATTTCCCCTTAGTAAACTGGAAAATCTCATTGATCCCAGCTTTAAAGATTTCCTCAAGTTTATCTTGGGGGAGATCTAAAGAAAGAAAGTTTCCCTTTCAGAACAATGGGAATTGATAGGACATAAACCTACAAGAGATACATAAGGCAACATAGAATCATACAGTGCAGAACCAGACCCTTCAGTCCAACTTGTCCATGCTGACCAGATATCCCAATCTGACCTAGTCCCATTTGCCAGCATTTGGCCCATATCCCTCTAAACCCTTCCTATTCATGTACCCATCCAGGTGCCTTTTAAATGTTGTTATTGTAGCAGCCTCCACCACTTTCTTTAGCATCTCATTCCATACACGCAGCGCCCTCTGTGTGAAAAAATTACTCCTCAGGTTCTTTTTAAATCTTTCCCCTCTCACCTTAAACCTATGCCCCCTAGGTTTGGACTCCCCCACTCTAGGAAAAATACCTTGACTATTTACCCTATCCATACCCCTCATGATTACATAAACCTCTGTAAGGTCACCCCTCAGCCTCTGACACTTCAGGGAAAAAAAGTGACTGTATCGGCGCCGCCTCGTGCTCCCACGAGGAGCTCGAACAGTTCATACACTTCACTAACACCTTCCACCCCAAACTTAAGTTTACCTGGACCATCTCTAACACCTCTCTCCCCTTCCTGGACCTCTCTGTCTCCATATCGGGCAACCACCTAGAAACCGATATTCATTTCAAGCCCACCGACTCCCACAGCTACCTAGAATACTCCTCCTCCCACCCACCTTCCTGCAAAAATGCTATCCCCTATTCCCAATTCCTTCGCCTCCGCCGCATCTGCTCCCAGGATGAGGCATTCCACTCCCGTACATCTCAGTTGTCCTCGTTTTTCAAGGACCGTAACTTCCCCTCCTCGGTGGTCGAGAACGCCCTCAACCGTGTCTCCCACATCTCCCGCACCTCATCCCTCACACCCCGTCCACGCAATAAGAACCAAAAAAGAATCCCCCTCGTCCTCACGTACCACCCCACCAACCTCCGGATCCAACGCATCATCCTCCGACACTTCCGCCATCTGCAATCCGACCCCACCACCAAAGACATCTTTCCCTCCCCACCTTTATCTGCTTTCCGGAGGGACAACTCTCTCCGTGACTCCCTTGTCCGCTCCACACTCCCCTCCAGCTCCACCACACCCGGCACTTTTCCCTGCAACCGCAGGAAGTGCTACACCTGCCCCCATACCTCCTCCCTCACCCCCATCCCAGGCCCCAAGAAGACTTTCCACATCAAGCAGATGTTCACCTGCACATCTGCCAATGTGGTATACTGCATCCGCTGTACCCGGTGTGGCTTCCTCTATATCGGGGAAACCAAGCGGAGACTCGGGGACCGCTTTGCAGAACACCTACGCTCGGTTCGCAACAAACAACTGCACCTCCCAGTCGCGAACCATTTCAACTCCCCCTCCCATTCCTCAGACGACATGTCCATCCTGGGCCTCCTGCAGTGCCACAACGATGCCACCCGAAGGTTGCAGGAACAGCAACTCATATTCCGCTTGGGAACCCTGCAGCCCAATGGTATCAATGTGGATTTCACAAGTTTCAAAATCTCCCCTCCCCCCACCACATCCCAAAACCAGTCCAGCTCGTCCCTGCCTCCCTAACCTGTTCTTCCTCCCACCTATACCCTCCTCCCACCTCAAGCCGCACCTCCATCTCCTACCGACCAACCTCATCCCGCCCCCTTGACCTGTCCGTCCTCCCTGGACTGACCTATCCCCTTCCTAACTCCCTACCTACACTCACCTTTACTGGCTCCATCCCCGCCTCTTCGACCTGTTTGTTTCCTCTCCACCTATCCTCTCCTCTATCCCTCTTCTATCCGCCTCCCACTCTCTTCCTATTTATTTCAAAATCCCCTTCCCCTCCCCCTTTTCTGATGAAGGGTCTAGGCCCGAAACGTCAGCCTCTCTGCTCCTATGATGCTGCTTGGCCTGCTGTGTTCATCCAGCCCTGCACCTTGTTGTCTCGGATTCTCCAGCATCTGCAGTTCCTACTATCTCTGCTCCGAGTTCTATCTCGCTGGCTGTATGTGGGTATTGTGTGAGGACATTCACAAGGAAATATTTGCACTCTCCACCAGGCAAGGAAAGTAGCAGCATTGTAATATCTACACTCAGCAAGATTCATCTGCTAGCACCTCCTAAAGCCCTGACCATCTAGAAGGACAAGGGCGGTAAGATTTTGAAACACTGCCTTTGCAACACACCATCCTGACTTATATGACAACTGTTCTTTTACTGTCACTGGGTCAAAATCCTGGAATTCCCTGCCTGAAAGCACTGTGTGGAAACCTACCTCACATTGGAGTGCAGCAGCTCATCACCACCTTCTCAAGGGCAGTTAGGGATGGACTAGTCTAGCCAGTGATGCCCTCTTGCCAGGAATGGATTTAAAGGAAGCTTGTCACAACAGGAAATATGCAAGAGCATCAATTTGTAATGAGCTGACACTGATTGAAGTAAGTGCAATTTTGGTGGTGAAAAACAACATACCATTCTGGTATTATTCAAAGCAATTGTTAAAAACAGAAGAAAAAATAATCAAGATCAGAAAAACAGAAGAATATGGTTGATTTTTTAAAAAAAAGCATAAACAAGAAGATAACAAGCTTTGGGTATTTAATGTGATAGCCACCAAAAACAAGAAGGCTTATATGGATTGTCACATTAGACACAAAATGGAAACTTCCTGACATTGAGATACTAAGAGCAATAAATCTGTAATAACTCAGTTCTTACAATTTCAAACAAATAGTTTACAATATGTATTTATAATATATTAAAAATCCCATCTCTGTACCCAATTTTATGTCAACCATTTTCCTTGTAAATTCTGACATGCATTTATAATGGGAGCTGGGCATGTAAATGTCACAGGGGAGATACACCTTTCTGCAATTGGAAGCATTACATCCAAAATATCCTTTCAAGTTAGACCTTTACAAACAACAGAGGAGATTTTCATTCCAATAACCCGAGCTGGAATGCAAACAAAAATAATCAGAAAATGAATAGAATGCTAGGTTTTATCCCAGTGGAATTGGAGCCCAAAGTGAAAATAAAATATATTTCAATTGTGCAGAGCTTTGGTTACAGTGGTAGCAAATGGCAATTCCAATGGACGTCATGACATTGGAAGAGTTAAATGCAAATTAACCAGAATGATACTGATGTTCAAAGGGTTAAGTTATGAGAACACTTTAATTAACTTGATTTTTAGTCCTTTGAGTTGAGGAAGTTGATGAGTGCTCTGATCTTGAAGTTTCAAATGGCATAGAGAATTGATAGGTACCCACTGGGAAACTAGTTCCTTTTCTGTGGAATTGAAAACAAAAGGACATTATTTTCAGATCAGAACTGGACCATTCAGCAGTGAAGAAAGCAGGAAGCACTTTCTTTCCCTGAACCTGAAGCTCCTTCCTCCAGATGTTGGAGCAATGACGTTCAATTGAAATTAACATTACTCAGATTTTATAGTATTTTCTTGGTAAGAGTAAGACAGTTCTGGAATAAAGGCAGGTCAATGAATTTGAGGTACAGATTAGCCACAATCTAATTAAAGGAAGGAGAAAGATTGAGAGGCTGAATGGCCTCTTCCTTTTCCAAAATTCAGATCCTGGACATGAGAAGTCAATGATGAAACCTGTGGTCCAGTTCTACAGCATCTGTAATGTTGGTATTTTGTCCCTGCCCGAGAATGATAGATTATTTCATGGAATTAGATTGTGCAATGGGTAAGTTGGGGAATCGATTCATCAGAAGCTGTGTGCACTTTCTTGAGAGCATCTCTTAACTTGGTCCAAAAAAGCTTTTGCCCAGACTCATCAGCAGGCCAGTTAATATAGGTCTTCTTCCTCACCAGCTTGCGTAGGTGATGGTAAGAAGAGAGCACATGGCCAGGGATCTCCTCCAGGAAAACCAAGATGAGGACATCACTGTGTTCATCAAACAATCGATACAAGGCGACCTGCATCTCCATGGAGCACCATTCGCTTTGAAGATAATTCTTGGAGATGATACAAATTGTCTTTCTGCTCTTATAGATGGCATCAACAATGTTTTCCACGATGGGTTTACCCACTTCAAAATCCCTGTGGTGGAAACAGAGTTGGTGAAATGGAGGCCCCTCATTCTCCAGATTGTTCATTAGTTGGTCAAATACCCAAGCTTCATCCTTGGAGTTGTAGGACACAAAAGCATCAAACTTGTAGCCTTTGGTACTGTTCTTCTGGAGTTTGTTTTCATGGATCCAAGCCCGGAGCAGATAGTATCCGTAGTGGAAGCTCCACTTGCCTTTCTGGTAGACCACAACTGTTACCATTAAAACAAATATAACTGGGGCTGTTGCACAAAATGCCACAAAGCCATCATTGCACACTGAGCTGTCAAACTTTGCAAAATATGTTCTTTTCTCAACTCCATTGTCCACACATGGATACTGGTAGAAGAAAGGAACCTGGACATCGGAGCTAGTAGCCCATTGCTGGAACCAAATATTGTCACAAACACAGGAGATAGGGTTAAAGCGCAGGTCCAGATAGGTGAGATTGTGCAACGGGGGAATATCAATCTCTTTGATCACATGGATCATATTGCTTGACAACATCAGAGAGTTGAGGCTGGTTAGATTTTGAAAGAGGATTTTCCTGATGGATTCCAAGCCAACATTCTTCAGAGTCAGATGTCGGAGATTTATCAGGTTGGCAAAAGTTAAGTCATGCATAGTCTGGAACCCATTACAAATATCACTCATGTGCAACTGCTCTAGATTAGTAAGTTGCTGGAACGGCAGAGTATTGAGATTTACAAACTTGTTGTTGGATATATCAAGTCTCTTTAGCCCCTGAAGCCCATGAAACAGATTATGAGGTAACAGCCTAAGACCAAATGGTGCTTGAGATCGTAACTTCAACATTTGGAGATTCTGAAGATGAATGAATGGAGGAAATTTTAAGTGATTGGCTCCAAAAGATAACTTATTGTTGGCAAGGTCTAATACCCTCAATGATTTAAGATCTTCAAACATTCCTTGAGAAACATTTGACAGCCAGTTTCTGTCCAGGTAAAGTTTTTCCAAAGCCTTGAGTCCTTTAAAACCTCCATTTTCAATCTTGTGAATGTGGTTTCCTCCCAAATCCAGTATGATCAGATTAGAGAGGCTAGAATAAGTCTTATTGAACACAGTTGGAATCCTGTTATTCCTGAGCTTCAAGGATTGCAGGTTTGTGAGGTTAGTGAAGGTTTCATGAAAAATCTCTTCGATGGCATTGTTAGTGAGCGACAGCATATTTAGATTGGTTAGACCCACAAACGCAGTTATGTTTATAAAATTAATTTCATTCAAAGCTAAGGAAAGATAGCGCAGATTTTTTAAATTTTGGAATACATGTGATCTAATGGCAGAAATGCGATTGGATCTCAAGGTGAGATGCTGGAGTTTCTCTAAACATGGACTAGATCTATTTTCTTCCACATTTTGCCCTGAGCCACATAAAGAGACATTGCGAATCAAATTAAAGTCTAGGTTTAATACTTGTAGGTTATTAGGAGTGTCCAAACTGCCAAAAATGTTCGGTTTTATGATTTGATTGTGGGACAAGTCTAACGACACGACATCCTGACAGTTGCTGAAGGCACTACTCACCTGGTGAAGCCGATTTCCTCTCAGCTCCAACCGCTGAATTCTCTTTTTCTGGATGAATTTGCACAGTTTACCCAGTGTTGCCTTGTCATTCAGTGTCAGGTTTGACAGGTTGATGTTTACCAATGGCGCATTCAAGTTTTGAACAATGTCAATAACCCCATCCTTACCCAAGGGGTTATGTTGCACATTCAGGAATTGAAGTCTGGTGAACGTGTGTGAAGTTAATTCCTTAGAGCTTGACAGGTTATTAAAGGATAAGTCCAAGTATATAATATTTGCAAAAAAAGCAGCAGGTGCCCATAGTTGGGAGATGACATTTCTAGCTAGAAGCAGGTGGGTCAAATTGGGAGGGAAATATGAGGAGATTTCTAAAGCACTGATGTTGTTGTTTTCAGCATTTAGAGTTCTTAGACCAGTACAACTGCTAAGAGCTTTGAAGAAAGATGAAACATTCCTTAAACTGTTGGAAGAAATATCCAGAACCCTCAACCTCTTTAATGCAAAAACACTTTCTCCAAGGAAACTAGTTAACTTGTTCTGTTTGAGGATTAAGTTGGTCAGGTTGGGAAGGAATTTGAAGATTCCTGGTTTGAGAGTCTCCAGTTGGTTACAGGATAAGTTTAGCAGCTGGAGGTTACTGAGTTTCCAGAAAGCTTCTATGTCGATGGTTGTCAGATTATTCTTGTCCAGCCTTAGAAGTTCTAGCTGTGTTAGATTTTCCAGTCCTCGGTGATGTAAAGTCCGGATCTTATTGACGGAGACATTAAGAACCCTGACGTGAGTAGGAATGTCTGAGACAGCCTCCTTCAGCTCTGAGATGCCACGGTCTGTACAAGTAAAAACCTGCTTCACCAGTTCACCGACACAGTATTTGAAAGCCAGGCAATTCACCATCCACATCTCCCTGAAAGCCAAGAGGAGCAGGAAGACTCCAACCAGCTCTTTCCCAGGACCAGGCACCATTCTGACCAGTGCTTTCAGAAAGCCTTCAATCACTTCAGATTCTCCTGGATTCTTTAGGTTAACCCTTGAGTCAACTCAGTACGTTACAAGTTTCACTTCCCGCAATGTTAACCAGTTAAGAATCACAGCAAGAGTTTGAACAATGGTTGGATTTTGAGAGTTTTACCTTTTGCTTTTCTTTAGAGACTTGTTTGAGTTTACAAGCTTTGCACCTGCTGAGCATGTTTTAACTCAGGCTGGTCCCGTAGCGCAATCAATATTCAGAATTAAATGAGGAAGTTCTGTGAGCAAATACTTGTAGTTTCACTCTGATGTGTTTCATTTGGAGAAGTTTATAATAGTGAGGCTGAGTAGGAGAAAAAAGCTAACTTTTCTTCATTCTTTCATCATAGTGGTTTTGATTGGTGCAGACTCGATGGACTGAAGGGCCTCTATATTATTCTATGATGTGAGGCTGTGGGTTTGGAGTCACATGTAGGCCAAACCAGTTGAGGATGATAGACTTGCTTCCCTAAGGGGGGTTAGGGAGGGAGCCAGATGTTTTTTTAACAACTATCAATGACAATTTTAGGGTCATCACTACTGAAACTATCTTTCAGTAAAATAAATAAAAGTTCATGGTGTAGGAAGGAGTATATTGGTATGAAAAGGAGATTGGCTAGCTAACAGGAAGCAGAGAATAGGCATAATGGGTCTTTTCTAGTTGGTATGAGTGGTGTTCCACAGGGTTCAGTGCTGGTCCTCAATTTTGTATAATTAATTATAGAATCCCTACAGTGTGGAAGCAGGCCTTTCGGCCCATCAAATCCACACTGACCCTCCGAAGAGCATCCCATCCAGACCCACCCCCCACCCTATCCCTGTAACCATGCATTCCCCATGGCTAATGCACCTAGCCTGCACATTCCTGGACACTGTGGGGCAATTTATCCTGGTCAATCCATCCTAATCTGCACATTTTTGGACTGCAGGAGGAAACCAGAGCACCCGGAGGAAACTCACGCAGACACGGGAAGAATGCGCAAACTCCACACAGTCACCCAAGATCGGAATCGACTCCAGGTCCCTAGTGCTGTGAGGCAACAGTGCTAACCACTGAGCCACTGTGCCACCCTATTCCTGTGACTGACTGACTTGGATGAAGGGACATATGATCATGAGGAGAATTGAATCCAGTAGTAAGGATATTGTGCTTCAGTTATACAGGGCACTGATGAGACCACATCTGGTGTACTGTGGACAGTATTGGTCTCCTTATTTAAGGGAGAATGTAAAAATGCTGGAAACAGATCAATGAAGGTTTACCATATTAATACCTGGTTTTGGTTACTATCTTATGAGAAAAGGTTGCACAGGCCAGGCTTGTTTCTGCTGGTGTTTAGAAAATTGACCAAAACATTTAAAATCCTGAGGGGTCTTGACCGGGTGGATGTGGAGAAGATGTTTCCTCTCAGGGGAGAAACTAGAACTAGGTGTTTCTGTATTAAAAACAAGGGTTATTCCATTCAAGATAGAGCTGAAAATTTTTTCATCACAGAGTTAAACCCTGTACCTCAAAAGGCAGTGGAATCAGTATTTGAATATTTTTAAGGCAGAGGTGGATAAATTCATTATAAGCATGAGGGTGAAATGTAGACATTCCAAAGTGCCACAAATTAATTTCAAAATTCTCCTTAAGGTGAGCTATGTGACAGCCAATCCCTGCTTAACAAGGTGCCATTGCAATTGTCATGCTGGGATCCAGGGGAATGTGAGAGATACCCTACTCGTTCTTCAGTAGTGGCCATGGGATATCATACATCCACCTGTGAGGGTAGATGGGTCTTCAATCCAGCCTCTCCATGTGAAAAACAGTGCCTTTGGCAGTGCAACGCTCCCTTAACGCTGCCCTGGTAGTTCAAGACCCCCGTTGTCTACACCTGGACATATATCAGCACAACAGAATCAAAATCCTCCATCACCTTCCTAACAACAGAAGCATTTTCTCCCCTTTCTCTGCAATGATGTGTGGAGTTTGCACATTCTCTCCATTTCTGCGTGAGTTTCCTCCTGGTGCTCTGGATTCCTCCCACAGTCCAAAGCCATGCAGGTTAGGGTGGATTGACCATGCTGAAATTGCCCATAGTGTCCAGGGATGTGTAGGTTAGATGGATTAGTCATGGGGAATGCAGAGTTACAGGGATAGGGTAGGGAGGTGGATAAGGTCTTCAAGTGTGGACCCAATTGACTGAATGGCCTGCTTCCACACTGTGGGGATTCTATGATTCTATGATGATTCTCTGATTCAAGAACGAGCTTCCCACTGTCTTCCCAGGAGGGGCGAGTGATAGGCAATAAATATTGCCCTCGTTATTGTCACCCATATTTGAAGTTACAAAATGAGTAGTCAAAGTCTCAATCTGCTGATGTCAATTTTCACATGCAAAACATGTTATGATTTTTTGGCTTCATAACGCAACCACTGATATAGGAGGAAAGTTTCCCCTTTTCAACACCAAGCCTTGTGTCAACAAAGGTGGAGCTTCCTCTTTCTATTTTATTTACAAACTAAATATCCAGAACTGGTACTGACAATTGAAACACATTTACATTTAGTACATTTGTAACTATATATTTTTAATCTCTTGCAAGCATATGCAGAAAATATTTAAACCTTTTCCATTTATAACTTCTGAATATAGGAACTCCCACACCCAACAGCTGTCTCATATTAAAATGCATTGGTCAGCAGCATTCCTTCTAATTTTCTCTCTGGCTGTGTGGGTCTCCAAAGTCCTTGTGAACCAGAAATCAATGCTGCGATTGCTATACCAAGACCTATTACCATGCATGAAGCATCAAAGTGTCTGTATGCACGCATAGCTGTGCAGCTTACTGGGAATGTTGTTGGTTAGACCAGTATTTATTGCCCATCTCTAGTTGCCCTTAAAAAGGTGATGGTGAGCTGCTTCTTTGAACCGCTGCAGTCCATGTGCTGTGGACCTATTGTACCTTCGGGGAGGAAGTTTCAATTTTTTGACCCCGCGATGACAAAAGAGCAGTGATGTATTTCTGAGTTGGGGTAGGAGATAGCTCGGAGTCAACTTGGAAGTCGTAGTGTAACCATATGCTAGCTGCCCTTGTCCTTCTCAGTGTGAGGGTTGTGAATTTAGATTCTGCTGTTGGAGGAGCCTTTATGAGTTGCTACCATACATCTTGTGGATGCTACACACATTACTGTATTTCAGCATATTTAGACATTGGAAAAGATGCAAATAAAAAAATCACAGGGATGTCAGTACTGATAGATTATGACTGGAAAGAATCACGGAAAAATGTGCTGTTTTCTGCAGAGAAGAGAGACTGAGGGAGTGACCTACCACAAATCTTTAAATTTACAAAAGGGTTCAGTAGGCTAGATGCAGCAAAAATGTGGAGGAGGTCAACACTGGAGACCATAAATATAAGATAGTCACAAATAATTCCAGTAGAGAATTCAGATGAAACTTTCTTGGAGAGTAGACAGAATGCAGAACTTGCAACCACATGAAGTGTTTGAGGCGAATGGCATAGGTGCATTTAATAGGAAGCTGAATAATCACATGAAAGAGAAAGGATTAGAAAGACATGATGCTAGGGTGAGATGAAGTAAGCCACATGAGAGGTAAAAGCTCCAGTGTACATTCCAAGTCAGGCCTAATTGTGATACAGATGGGAAGGAGAGTTGGAATCACCAGCCTATCCTACTTTTCTCTCTGAGCTGCAGACTTCACACAATTTCCAATAGCCTGGCATCTACTGTAGCCACACAAAAGAATGAAGGCTGTACTGACATTAATATCTGCCTCTGTTCTGCATTCCCTGACATTTACCATCTGTTTTCACAAGCAAGAGGCATGCAGAGGTGTCTGACTCTGCGCTGGGTCAGGAAATACCCATTTGTTGGCTGGAGTCTCAGGTTGCCGACCTGGTATCTCATTAATAAGCCAGTCAGCTCTGGCAACCTTCCAGAACAGCACACATTGAACAAGCCAGGCAGGAACACAGCGAGACTGATACAATTTGTACAGGCACTTCCCTGTAATAGCTTGTTGTAAGCTATGCTTCAGTAGGCAACACCCTGGCCTCTGAGTTGGACATTTATGGATTTGAGCCTGCAGCTATTTGAGTCCGTAATCTGGGCTGCCATTTCAGTGCAATACTGATGGAGTGCTGCACAGTCAGAGGTGATGTCTTTGGGAGGCAATGTTTAACTAAGACCCCCTCCACTCTGTCAGGTAGATGCAAACTATTTCACAGAAATAGGGGACCCACCCATGGTGACCTCATCGATATTTGTGCCGCGAACGCTGTCACCACAGCATAAAGATTATTTAGTTTTCATTTCTGTTTGTGGAAGATTTGGCTTTAGTATTTCCTACATTATAAATGTGGCTGTGCTGCCAGAAAGGTGCTATTGAAATACAAGTTTGTTTTAATCTGAAGTGGAGGCATCAAGACAATAGTCACTCCACATCTCCTGCTTTAGTGAGCTATTGCTTGTCTATTGTAATCAAATTCCTGAATCCTCCTCAAGCATACACTGAAATCTCAGAAAGTCCATGTTGTTATCCTGTGAATTGCTCAGCTCCTTGATTTTGTTTGCAGTGTAAACTCCTCTATAATACCCTAATAGTTTACCTGACAAGACTAGATAGGCTTTCATGTACCTCTCCTCCCATATTAATTCAGATTTTAATCTGCTTTGTGTCCCGGGTGTCATGAATACATTACCACCTCAGAAACATGTATCGTTGCCCTGCTGCAAGTTGCACTGTCTAAAGAGAAGGCACAAACAAATTCAATTGTGCTGTTCTGTGATGCAGGAAATTTGGCAGCCAATTTGTGCATAGAAGGCTCCCTCAAACAACAAGGAATTAAATAATCTAGTGAGGAATAAGTATTGGCCAGGACACTGGGGAGAAATCTACTGCTCATCATTGAGACAATGGTCCTAGGAAATTTTAGCCTGAAAGTGCTCAGCATGTCTCAATCAGAGACAGAACCTCTGGCAATGCAGCACTCCCACACTACTGCAGCATGGAGCATCAACCTAGATTATTTGCTCAGCTCTCTCGAGTGAGGCATGGAATTATGGACCTTTACTTCAGAGAATGCCATTTGTCCCATTGTGCCCATGCTAGCTCTTTAAAACAGTGATCTATTAAACACATTGCCCTTTCTCTTCCTCCATAGGCTTGCTGTTCCTTTTCTAGTTTTTATTCAACTCACATTTCTACATACGTAGTTCATTGATAATTTTCACAATGATGTTTGATTCTTAAAGCTAATTAGTTAAACTGAAACAAAAACAGAAATTGCTGGAGAAATTCAGCAGGTTTGGTGGAGAGAAAGCAGAGTCAACCAATGACTCTTAAATTCATATTGGTGAGATTATTTACAAAATCAGAAAGGTTGTGGCTGAGATGTATTATTACTGTCATGTTTGATACATCATTAAGTAGGATAATGGAGTGACTACAAAGAGTTTTGACTTTTCTTTCATAGGATGTGGGCATCCCTGGCAAGGCCAGCATTTGCTGTTGCTCCATAATTGCTCTTAAACAAAGTCATTTGCTAGGCCATCCATGGGGTCATAGAGATCTACAGCACAGAAAAAAAGGCCCTTTGGCCCATCGAGTCTGCACCTGTCAAAAACAACCATCTAACTATTCTAATGCCACAAAGGTGTGTAGGATACATGCTTCCCTGATAATAGGAATAACCAGGCAGGGAACTATGTGATGTCTTCTCTATGTCTTTATTGCAGAAATGTGGCAGTTACATGGGTGATTTAAAGCAACTGCATAGCAGTTATACAGATGGTATATTGGCAACTACATGGCAACTGCAAACTGTCCAATCACAGCTCACATTTGTATACCTTTCAGCAAAGGCAGTTAGTCATGTAAACTGAATGTTCCAACAATACATTTAGAAGTTGTTATTTTCTTCTCATGTAGCCTCAGTATGTACCTCTTCCTTATTTTGCCTTTCTCATGATTATTTAACAGTTGTTTTTTATGACTACCTGTTTAACTATTCATCTTATGCTCACTATTTTGCCATTTGTTTCCTGACCTTTACCTTGGTACAGTCACCTTGCTTCCATCTAATAGAATCCCTTATTGTCCCCTTTACTTATTACTGCTTACACAGACTACTTGCCAAGGACAAATTGTTTCCCTTAACCCTTTCACGACTATTTTAAAATATTATGTTGTTACCTATGTATCCCACAAGTGGTTAACTGGAGAACACACTGCAGGCATTTTGATAAGTTCTGCGGTTAGGGATGGATTTGACTGATCCAATGCAACAAATTGCATTAACCTGTTTGCTTGTTCTTTCGAGTGACCTGGTTTCATTGCTCAGGAGGAGACACTGGCAGTCACTGGTTATGCAGTAGGGCGACACTGAGTGATACAATCAGACTTAATGGATTTGTGTGGCTACGATTGATATGACGAGAGTGAAAGGTCGCGTGATATGAAAGTAGTCATTCTGAACCTCCCCCTTCACACCACAGCCTAAGGAGGATCATTATTCCTATGGCTGTTGTGCTATCCATGATGATAGTTGCAAAGATGGTTCTGATGGGTGAGAACTTTAATCCTCAGCCTCTGACAAAGACATAATTTGCAATTCTTTTACTTCATTTATCCACTTATCATCTGAACACAACTTCAATCCTATGGTTCTGTACCCCCATCTTTCATATGAGAGACTGGATGCTGAATTTCAGCAGATGTTCAACTGTGGTAGGTAATTACAGTTAAGCCTATTCCTGTCCTCACTCACACTGACCCACTTGTATACATGACCACATATGTACGCAATCATGCACACTTGCAGACATGCATTCACAGTCGTGTGCACAAATTCTCACACACAGATGCATATATACAGACCACATACACAAACACATGCATCCATAGCCACACACACATACACACATACATATATGCACAATCATGAACATGCATTTTTCAGTGCCCCACAGGACCATGGAGTCTCAGTGGTTGAGTTTGATCAAGATTGAGGTTGATATGTTTCTACATATTAAACACGTCAAGGATATGGGGATAGTACAGGAAAATAATATTGAAGTAGACATATCAGCTATTATCTCACTGAATGATGGAACAGGCTCAAAGGGCTGAATGGCCTACTCCTGCTTCTATTTCTTAAGCTCTTATGATCTCTTTTCCTATCTACTTCTGATCCACTGAAGCAAACTGTAATGACCCAACTCTTCCTTTGACTGAATGCACCCATCCCAAATTGATGTGACGCAGATCTGGGATTTCTGATTTGAGGATTTGTCCACAGTGAGACCACTGTGCTAAGACCACACCTGAACAAAGGTTTCTCCCTACAGCTACAAGCCTATGTTTCTCAAAAGACTCCCAAAACCTTTCAGTACACTCCATCCCCATGAAATTTTTAAAATTAATTTTCATCTGTTTAGAAATGGTTGGCTATGATTGCACATGGTATAGTCTCTGAGTCCCTACGCTGGAAACTGGGGTGCAGGGGATCCCATTAAGGCAGATGCATGACTTCACTCCCACTTCCCTAACCCTAATCCTAACCCCCTTCATTTTCAGCATTCTCAACCCTGATTCTATGCATCTCAAATAAATGTATTGAGTGGAACAGCACTTTGATAATTGACACTCCTGTGTTATTTACTGAGTGTTTTATATCTTAAGCCTCAATTTTTATCTTCCAGTTTGAATTATCAATGAAGGACTGTACCAAATTATAAATATTAAACCAACATCAAATGAAACAGAGTCTTTGTGTATTTTCCTTAAGTTTACAAAAGCACAATTTGCTGTGTGAGAAAGTGTGTCTGTATGAATGTGTGTGTGTGTGTGTTTGCATTTATACCTATTTTGAGTGTGTATGTGACTATGAGGGCATGTTTGTGTGTGTCTGTGATTGTGTGTGTGCGTATGAATGTGTGCTTGAATGATTGTCTGTATATGCACGTGTGTGTTTATACAGTAAATGAGAGAAACACAGGGGCTATATCATAGAACGACTTAGAAGTTACACTGCCATAAACAGATCATTCAACCAAATGGCCTGTGTCAGGGTTTTTGCTTCATCTAACCAAATCGGCAAATCTGCTGTGTTCATCCAGCTCTGCACCTTGTTGTCTCGGCAAATCCTTCTGTTCCTTTCTCCCCTGTTTTAAAATTAATTCAGGGGATGTGATCATCACCGGCTGGGTCAGCATTTATTACCCACCCTTAATTGGGAAGATGAGAAGCTGCTGTAGTCCATTTGGCACAGGAACAATGCTGTCTCTCCATGTCCATGCTCCTTCATACATTTAGGAACATAGGACTTAGGGATTGGATTAGGCCATTTGAACTGGGCTCCAGCATTCAGTAAGATTGTAGATGGTCTGATTAAGGTTTCGACTCCACTTTTCTGACCACCTCCCGCTTGACTCCTTTGTCAGTCAAAAATCTAGCTAACTTGGCTTTGAATAAATTCAATGACATAGATTCCACTGCTCTATGGGAATGTCAGTTCCACAGACTAACGACCCCTGAGAGAAAAAAGAAGTCTCATCTCTGTCTTAAAGGAGAGACCTATTCTAGTCATCTCCAAATGAGGAAACAGATTCCCGGTGCCCGCCGTATCAAGCCCCTCAACATCTCACATGTTTCAGTACATGTTTCCTCTTTAAGCAGTTGAAATACTCTTGGAAATGAGGGGCTGTCTACAGTTACATTTCAAATCCTGCGGCTGAAACAATGTGGATTAATCAACTGATTTGTTGTGAGAAGTGTTGCCCGTTTAAGCAGATGCTTTTAAAATTCCCTTTTAAGAATGTGGGACGCTCTTCAGGGAATCAATGACGTGTACGTGCGCTATGATTGACATCTGATTCCCAGGGAATGCCATTCCATTTCTTGGCTCTGTCAGTGTCTTAGCTCTGCCTCAGAGCTCCCCTCAAGCTGCACCTTTCTCCCTCTCCTCTACTAAGTGACTTTTTTCCCCCCTGTTTTGTTTGATAAACTCCGTCACCCTGAAGTATCTAACCGTCCTGCTCGGGGCAGGGATGCTTGCTTTTGTCGGTGCAATCATTTGCATCATTGCAAGCATCGCCCCGGGTTCCCCGGGAGCTGTCCCTGGTGCTGGAGATGAAGAGGGAGCCTCGTACAGCACCGACAGGGGCGCTGGAGCTGTCCATGGTGCTGAAGCGGACAGCCCTCGCCCAACCGCGCCGAGCAAAGCTACTGTCTTCCAAGCCGAGACCGGCAAAGGCTCCATAGGCTCCGAGCTGGGTCAAGGGTCCGTCCTGGGCTCGGATTCAGACATAGGCATCACCAGTCGCTTCCTCTGCCTGCCTTTAGCCCAGGATTGCCCTTCTCCATCGATCAGGGAAGACCTCCTGCTGCTGAGGAGCACGGCAGATCATCTGCGCCAGATGGTCATTCAACAGGAACAGCAGATTCTCAATGACCAGGAGACCATCAGAGAACTGACTGGCAAACTCAGCCGGTGTGAGAACGGGCAAGAACTGGACTCTTTCCAAAATAACCCCGAGGAATATGCTTGGGACGCTGGAAGAAACAGCTTGGAAGATGGCACTGAAGATTCTGAGCGGACGATGCAGGAGCTGGAACACTCCGTCTACTCCCTAAGGAACAACATTGAAAAGCTGGAGGTAAATTATATCTTACTCGGAACAGCAACAGTTTGTCATTGGAATGACAAGCAATACATATTTGTCAATGTTGCTAAAAGTGTGTTCACCAATCAAAAGTGATTTATTGCAAAAATATAATTAAAAAATCCACGGTTATAGATTTTATGTTTTAATTATCATTGAAATGCCCTTTCCCTCCAAATTGTAGGTAATAGGTTAGGGACCTGTTGGACCAACTCAAGATGGGACTGTGAGGCATCAGAGGCCCTGATAAAGCCCTGTTCTCTGCATTAACAGATGCCTTTTGACTGGCATAAACCAATGGCTTGTATTATAACCAGTTAAAAGTGGAATGTACTAGCATGAGTGAGCTAACAAAAAGCCTTGAAATCCATTTGTGACTTTACATTCAGATCTACTCTTTCCTTTGCTCCCAGCATATTACCATTCACACCAGTTCCTATTCTATCCCTCCCCTCTGTGTCTGCAGAATATTCCTGACAAGAGTAAATTTAACTGCTTTCTAATGTAACACACACACAACAAAACCGCACAAGGTGGGTCTGGTCTTGATCTCAGAGCTGTGTTTGGCTGCAGTCAAATATTGGGATTAGCCTTGGCATCTTGTGCATGGGAAGGGAAATCAACCAGGATTCTGCTGCCAGTCATAAGTCTCCATCGCATTGCAATAGGCTATTCACCCCCACAGTGCTTTTTATGATGCTGTCAGAGAGCTATGCACTTAGACTCATCACTCGCTCTTGGCTGGACCTTTTCACATTGCTTTCTTTCTCAGTATACAGTGATCCCTGTTTGAAGCGGATGTATATAGGCATTGGCTGAGAACAGGAGTAGGGCTTGCTAGAAGGCCCCTATCCTCTACAGTGAAATAACCCTCTGACAGTCATTTTGGAGGCAAACATTTGTGGAAAGAACTTCATTATGAACATTGCAATACTCCTGTTTCCAAACTTCCAGTTTTGAACATTGCTTTCTGGGCACAAAGGTGGGGCTGGTTTTTAATTAAGAAACTGAACTAATTATTTCTACACCTCAGGAACACAGTCAGCATCCCAACCAGAATAAGTACATTGTGTTAAATATTATTGTACATTTTCAGTTGTGACAGGTCGAATTGTGCAGCAATTCATTGCTTTGTAAATCTGTTGCTGCCAAGTTCAGTACTGAAGTGATACACAGAGTGCTCTGTTTGTCTTACTGATGCTGAGAAGCACATGAATATCTTTCACCTCTGAATGATAACAATCTCTTGTTGCTGCTAGTGTTCCTTGGGATCTATAAGTCTTTTATTACTTATACAAAATGAACTTTCATTTATATAGTCCTTTTGGTATTGTAATATGTTCCAAGGTGCTCAGACAAAAATTGACACTGAACTGAATAAAGTGGCATTAGGGCAAGTAACTGAATATTTAGTTAAAAGATGTAGGTTTTTAGCTGGGTCTAACTGAGGAGTGAGCAATAGAGAGGAAGGAAAGGTTTAGTTTCTTCTTTGTTCCTTCATAAGATGTGGATGTCATTGGAAAGGCAAGATTTTGTTATCCATCCCTTTTTGCCCTTGAAATCATTGGCATGCCCAGCTATTTCATCAGGCAATTAAAAGTTAAATACATTGTTGTTGGTTTGGAGTTGCATGTAGGCCAGCAGATTTCCTTCCCTAAACGGCATTAGTGGTCCAGATTTCCTTCCCCCAACATGGTCACCATCGTTGAGACTAGCTTTACGTTCCAGATTTGTAGATTGAATTTAAATTTCATCAACTATGATGGAGAGATTTGAATCAATGTCCACAGACCATAAGTCTAAGTGTCTGGATTCCTAGCCCGTTACACTATCAATTTCCCCAAAGTTAATGGCCTAAAGGACGGAAGATTGGGCCACCAATTAGAGACTGAAATAAATGTGTCATATGTGGAGGAACACAGAAATCTTGGAGGGCTGTAAGGGCTGGACATGTTATAGAAATAGGGAGATGTGTAGGGACTGGGGGAGGTTGTAGGGATAGGGAGGAGTGTAGCGTTGGAAGAGGTTACAGAGACAGGAAGGGATGAAGGGCTGGAGGAGTCAAGCTTATGGGGAACTGGAAATGGGTGGCCAATCTGAAAAGCATTAGAATGGTTGAGTCAGGAGATAACAAAAGTATGGATGAAAGGGTTTAGTAGAAAAGGGGCTATGGCAGGATGGAGATAGGCAATAAAAATTGATGTGGTATATGGAAATCAGGGCTTTGGACATTCATTGTGTCAAACTCTGTGGATGCTTCCAGTAATAAAAAATGGAAGTGCCAGAGTGATATGTGAATCAGTAAATATTAACAGAGAGAGAGAGCACAGGCAAATATTTGTGTCTATGCTTTAAAACTTCAGAAAATTGTGACATATTGGTGCAGCAGAAATTTGTTGATTAACAATGCACACTGCCGCAGCTACACTCCTTCCCATATTCACAATTAGCAACAAGAAAAATATTTTAGCATTCAGACAGAGTGTAAGCTAGTTGTATAAATGTGATTAGTATTGGCCAGAGGGATCCCATTTACACCTAGCACTCCATCAGGTTAATAAATGATATTGTGATAAAGCTTCCTTGATTGTTGGGGAATTCAAAGCCCATCGCCAAGAATAGCCACTACTGACCAGACTAAGTTCTAAAGAACATTGCTGCTAGACAGGGTCTGCAACAAGTGGTGAGCGAACCAATCAGGAGGAAAAATATATTTGATCTTGTTCTCGTAAATCTACTTGTCTCAGATATATTCATCCATTGGTAGGATTGAGTTCTTGTGGAGATGAAGTCCCAGCTTCACATTGAGAATATCCTCCATCAAAAAAGTGTGAAATTGAATAGACATCAAACAGATCTACAGGTCTGATTCTCATCCTGGGCAGCTATAAGGTGCTGTAGACCATCAGCAGCTGAATTGTATTCAACTACAATCAGTAACCTCTTGGCCTGGAATATACTGCACTCTACCACGATTATGAAGTTGGGTGATAAACCTTGGTTCAATAAAGAGTGCTGGAGGGCATGCCAGAAGCACAACTAGGGCATACCTAAAAATGAGATTTCAACCTGGTGAAGATACAATACAGGACTGCTTGCGTGCTAAACACTGGAAGTCACATTGATATACAGGACTAAGCAATTCCACAACTAACAGATCAGATCTAAGTTCTGTAGTCCTGCCACATCAGGTGATGAATGGTGATAGACAATTAAGCAACGAATAAGAGTTGGATGTTCTAGAAATATCCTCATCCTCTATGATGTAATGACCGAGCATATCAGTGCCAAAGACAAGGCTGAATTATATCATTGTCATGAAAGGGATGTGGCTTATCGATATTAATACATTTTTTTTAAAGAGTGGAATATAGATGTTGGTCTATTTTTGTAAAAGTCTTTTAAAAATTAGCTAGGTTAGTCTTTCCAGAATCATGATTTTAACTCAATATGTGTCTCCTGGGGGGTGTTAATGAACTTTTGTTTATAGTGAAGGGGTTTACAACTGGAGGGGGAAAATATCAAGCATTAGCTTAGCAGACTCTAGGATGAGCAAGTTTTTAAGAATGTAGTACAAAAGTGATTGGCAGTTTGAAGGAGACCTGACTGTGGTGAGAAGTAAGCATAGTCTCTTCAAGAAAAATTGGTTTGCTCAGAGCAGTTAAGTAAATAAGTTATCTCAGAGAAAGGATGTATTTTGTGAAACTTCCAGACCAGGAGTGTTTGGTTAGAACTCTGCAGATTATTAAAAGACTGAGAAAGTTTAAGCTCTCATTTGTGTGAATGTCATAGAGTCATAGAGCTGCACAGCATGGAAACAGACTCTTTGGTCCAACTTGTCCATGCTGACTAGATATCCGAAATTAATCTAGTCCCATTTGCCAGCATTTGGCCCATATCTCTCTAAACCCTTCCTATTCATGTACCCATCCAGATGCCTTTTAAATGTTATAATTGTACCAGCCTCCACCACTTCCTCTAGCAGCTCATTCCATACACGCACCACCCTCTGTGTGAAAAAGTTGTCCCTTAGGTTCCTTTTAAATCTTTCCCCTCTCACCTTAAACCTATGCCTTCTAGTTTTGAACTCCCTTCCCTGGGGAAAAGATCTTGGCTATTCACCCTATCCATGCCCCTCATGATTTTATAAACCTCTATCAGGTCACCCCTCAGTATCTGACACTCCAGGGAAAATAGCCTATTCAGCCTGTCCCTGTAGCTCAAACCCTCCAACCCTGGCAACAGCCTTGTAAACCTTTTCTGAACCCTCTCAAGTTTCACAACATCCTCCCTGTAACATGGAGACTGGAAGTGAACACAGCATTCCAAAAGTGGCCTAACTGATGTCCTATACAGCCACAACATGACCTCCCAACTCCTATCCTTAGTGCGCTAACTAATAAAGGCAAGCATACCAAACGCCTTCTTCACTATCCTGTCTACCTGCAATTCTACTTTCAAGGAATGATGAACCTGAACTCCAAGGTCTCTTTGTTCAGCAACACTTCCCAGGACTTTACCATTAAGTGTATAAGTCCTGCACTGATTCCAAAATGCAGCGCCTCACATTTATATAAATTAAACACCATCTGCCACTCCTCGGCCCATTGGCCCCTCTGATCAAGGTCCTGTTGTACTCTGAGGTAATCTTCTTGGTTGTCAACTACACCACCAGGTCAAAGAAAAAGGTCTCACAGCTCATGGGAGCAGTGCTGAGAAGAAACAATTAAGTCAGACCTACAGGTTTGACAGAGAAGGAGTTCCTTTGGATTTTTTGAGTAACTGTAAGGTGATGGTATTGAGGAGTAGATGGGATTTTGTTTTACCATGCATTTTGAAATCTTGTGCTATAGTTAGTTTGGTTTGATTTATTTGATTTTTAATATTTATTTTATGCAATAAAATTCTGTGTTATTATTATAACCAAGTCTGCAGCCTTATGTGCTCATGTTTCAGTGAAAGACCCCCGCATTAAAAAAAGAACAAAATATGAT